GCCCCCCCTCCCCTGCAGGTTGTAGACGGCTCCCAACAACTGCGAGACCAGGCGGTAGAGGTGACCCCAAAACACGCCGCCGGCGCCTCCCCTCTGCTGCCAAAGGGGCTTAATTAGCGTTAATTAATCATTAACTGTGTGGGGGGGGTGGTAATTTTTAGGGGGGTGTCCCCCCCCCACTCCCCCCAAAACCCCTCGTGCCGCCGCCGCTGCTCTCCCAGCCCTTAAAGAGCTATTTATAGGCTGTGAGTCAGCGGCTGGCTCACGCGCGCGCGGGCAAACAAGCCCTTTTTTTTTGGGGGGGGGAGGGATTTTTGGGGGAAGTTTGGCCGATTTTGAAGTGCCCCCCCGTCATCCCCCCTTTTTGGGGTGTCCCCCTCCTCCCAAATAACACCCACCTTTCCCCCCAGGGAATAACTGCTAATGGGTGGTTAACACTGGGAATAGGGGGAAGATAGGTGGGATTTGGGGGGGGACACCCCTAAAAAAGGCCCCTGGGGGAGCCCCCCCTAAATTTTGGGGGTCATCCCCCCTTTTTGGGGTGTCCCCCTCCTCCCAAATAACACCCACCTTTCCCCCCAGGGAATAACTGCTAATGGGTGGTTAACACTGGGAATAGGGGGAAGATAGGTGGGATTTGGGGGGGGACACCCCTAAAAAAGGCCCCTGGGGGAGCCCCCCCTAAATTTTGGGGGGTCCTCCCCTTTTTGGGGTGTGTGTCCCCCCAAATGACACCCACCATTCTCCCCGGGGAGGCACAGGGAATAACTGCTAATGGGTGGTTAACACTGGGAATGGGGGGAGATAGGTGGGATTTGGGGGGGACACCCCTAAAAAGGGCCCCTGGGGGAGCCCCCCCTAAATTTTGGGGGTGCTCCCTCCCAAATTTAGGGGTGCCCCCTCCCAAATAACACCCACCATTCTCCCCGGGGAGGCACAAGGGAATAACTGCTAATGGGTGGTTAACACTGGGAATGGGGGGAGATAGGTGAGATTTGGGGGAGGGCACCCCTAAAAGGGCCCCCCCTAAATTTTGGGGGTGCCCCCTCCCAAATTTAGGGGTGCCCCCCCCCCAAATAACACCCGGGGGGCAGAAAG